TTCATCGATGTTGTCACAAAGGCTGAAAACGCGGTAATATTAGCTGGACATCATAATGAAATATTGAAACTTCAACACTAAAAAAGATTTATGATGAGTCGCCATATATATGAAGAAGAAGAAGAAGAAGAAGAAGAAGAAGAAGAAGAAGAAGAAGAAGAAGAAGAAGAAGAAGAAGAAGAAGAAGAAGAAGAAGAAGAAGAAGAAGAAGAAGAAGAGGAAGTGGAATTCTCATCGTGTGAGGAGCTGAGTGCCGATTTACCGGTCAGAGAAAAATTATTTTACTTTTACTTCTCGGTTTCTTCCAAATTATAGTAACTAATGAAGTGCTTAGTTATATTCATAAAAGGAAAAAACTAAAATAACAACTCAATTAGAGTTGGTCCGTTTGAGAGATTTGTGCTTTTACTCTTAAGACTTTTTAATTAATGTTTATATAGCATAAAAAAACTTTTTTTATTTAAAAATAGCTTTTTAAGATGTTTGGTAAATAAGTTAAAAGTTCTTATTATAATAAAATGTAATGGAAAACAATAATATTGATGGAATTTTTAATTTGTTGTTCATAAATAAAAAATTAAAAATGTCAATGAAAAACTTTTTATACACTTTTTTTTTTTAGTATTTAAGAGGCGATTTATCTCAAAAGAGCTCATAAAAGTTAAAAACACTTTTATATTGTCCATTTAAACAGCCCAAAAACGGGGTTTTAGACAAAATAAGCTAAAAGTGATTTTTTTTTTTTTTAAGACATTCCAACGAGACTCATAATAGTAATTGAAAAAACTACTACCAATAAAGCTAAATTTATTTTTTAACCATTAAATCTATATATTAAAAATTTTTTATTCTACATAATTTTCACGCAAGACGGTTCGGGATCTACATAATAAAGAATTCAGATATGGAAATCCAAAATAGAAGTATATAATTCACTTCACATAAATAATTAAGTAGCAAACGTGAAACGACCAATAATATTATAACAATCCCCAGCAAGTTGGTACAAGTATTCAACTGCAACTATTCAAAGAGGTGCAATTTCTAAGAAGATGCAGATATACTATTTCGTGACCTATATATCTCCTTTATCTATTCATATTAGTGAAGCAAATTCATTTCTAAATAGCACTAACTCCTTATAATTAAAGATTACCTGAATAACGTTCTTCTTCTACTTGTCTTCCCTAATTTATCACAAGAAGAAATGAGATGAGTGGTAGAAACATGTTACTTAAAATAATCTCCATCATCATAAGAACATTACGAAACAAAAATATAATAAATTGATATCAAATACAACGCCTTAATTGTTGTTAGCTTGAGAGCTTTTTTGTTTTGATCATAGAGAGCAATCATGATTTTGCAACCTTATTTTAAGCTTGGGATATGATTTTTTCCAACTTAGATTTTTCTCTCAAAATTTTCACATTATGCCTAATCTAATCATCTATCAATCTACATACTTACTAATATTGAGAGAGAGAGAGAGAGTAAAGCTAGTGTTTTAGTTTAAATGCTAGTTAAAACTTTGGTAGTTGATTTATCAAATCACTGTCACACTTTGCAGATAAAACTAGCTGATTGGTTGAAAAGCGATAAAGATATGTAGCTGGTGGATGATCATATTGAAAGAAATGCAGCACTTCTCTCTTTTCATAAAAGGGTGAAAAAACGAATTTTAGAAAAATAATATATTTACAAGCTAGAAAAAAAACACGCAACAGATCACCAGGATTAAGGGAACCCATCTCATAATCTTATGATGGATTGTAGGAAAACAAGACAGAATTTAGACAGATGAAGAAATACAAGACTTAGAAGTGACCGTGAAAAGAAATAAAGAAATAAGGAAAACACCAAAAGAACTCGCCAGTATTATTTATAAGAAATGGAACTTACCATTAATTGACATCCACGCACACATTTATTTATATAACCAAAGTTTAAGGCATATATATGGGTCTCTAATGGAGTATGCCCTTTTTTGTTTTGTTGGTTAGAACTAGAAGGCAATTACGAATGGCAATGCCTGTCTATGTGTAGTTTTCTTAAGAGAGAAATTCATAAACAGTGAAGGTGTGTATGATGAAGGTATGTTTTTTTTATTTTTTTTATTTTAAAGAGAGGTATAAAATTACTGGACCCACTTTTTAACGGCTTAAATTTTTAAGATGAATTAGTAATTAACATAGTGTGTATATTTAAAGAGAGGTATAAAATTACTGGACCCATTTTTTAACGGCTTAAATTTTTTAGATGAACTAGTAATTAATATGGTATCAGAGTGGGAAGTCTTGAGTTTAAATCTCTATAAATGCACTCTTTGACCTTATTTAAAGTTGTCCACGTGTTAGGCCTTGCTGCAAATAGTAAAAAACAAAAAAAAAATAGAATATAAAATTATTATCGGCCTACTTGAGTTTAAATCCTTATAAATGTACTTTTTAATTCATTTAAAATTGTCTACGTACTAGGCCTTATTGTAAATAGCTAAAAATAATAAATAAATAATAAAAAAAATTTAGAATATAAAATTATTATTGATCCACCTTTAACAACTTGAACTTTTAAGATGAATTGACGGTAAATAATCATTATTCATGTAAAACTCAATCTCCTAAAGACTACCAATGTTATTAGTCTGCTAATATTTGAGACTTTGAGACTCGAATGTCTGTCTTTTTAGTCAGAGAACACAAATCTAACTACGAACCGCACATGAATTTTACCGTACGTAGAAAACAACTCTTCATTCTTATCCAATTGACTTGACATCAATCAAGTCCTTGGCTGTTCACCAGGCCTTATAAAAATATTGACTTCGACTCAGCTTGTTTGTCCATTATTTTCGTTTCTTTTATAACATTTTAACAATATCAAAACACGTTAATTTTTGTTATATGTATCTTAGTTAACAATCATGTAATGTTAATAAAAGAAGTCGCGTTCCTTAAAATGTTTTTTAGAAAGGGGACAGAAGAATGGAGAAGTATGAGTCAAATACTAACCTTATTAATTCTGGAGGAAACATATTTTATATCTAGATAACATGTATCGAACTAAACTAATTTCTTTTGAAATTAAATATAATTTTATTAAGTACGTAACTTTTATATTCTATCCGTCTAACTAATGCTTAGAGCTGCAAGTTTGGACGTGGCTAAACGGACCAATCTAAGACCCGCTATTGTTAATCCGGGCTTGGCCCTACTCGGTCTTAAATTTTTTGGGCTTATGATTGGACTAGACTGACTTTTTCTCCTTTAGGGCCGGTCAGGCCTTGTCCAAACATCATATTTTTAAATTTTAAAAAAAAATACTCTTTAAAATTTCGGGCCGGATTTAAATTTTTTGAGCTTAAAGCCGGGTTGAGCCGACATTCTTTCTTTTAGAATCAGACCGACCCGAAATTTCCCGTTGAACTCGGACCAGATTGGGTGACCCAAACTTACACCTCTCTTAACCTTATTTGGGTCGTACAATATTTTCGAACTAAAAAGATTTGAAGTTAAATCGTGTATATCAATCAATCCAAATTGCTTCATAAATTGATCACATGACGTAGTTAGAAACATTATATAAATTATTTTAGTATCTTTGCTGCTGTTCCAAATATAAGCATGATACAAATGACTGAATACAAATATAATAACTCCGCAAAATTGAGAAAAGATATATTCATGATATTCTCGGAGTTCTAACATATTTATTAGATTCTAAACTGCAATATTCAAAGCAGATAACACAAAAAATTAAACATCAAACTCAAACAAATTTAAAAAAATGAAAAAAAAATAGAGAATTTACTTCTAAGATTGCATGAGTCTAGACTTTTACCCCTTATTTTTGATAAATACTCTTTTATTAGTGTAATTATTTTACTAAAAAGGTTATGAATGTAAAAGGATTTCTTCTAAGAAATTAAATTTATTTGGAAGATCAAGTAAGTAACTGAGATTAATGCAATAAACATCGGAAAACCTCATGGAGAGTGATAGAGAGATATGTTTCTTGCTCATATATATATATATATAAACAGATATGGGTTTAGTAGTTTAATCCAGTCATCGAATATAATTAAAATTCCAGATTGGATTTCAACTTTCTTTCAATTTTCAAGAGGGAAATAGATATAGCTAGGTAAAACCAATACCTGAATGAATAAGGCAATATTATTTCCGAAACACTATTCAGGCAAACACCAATATGCCTCAATATAATTCTCCCACCCTGTACAGTTTGTAATGATTATGACAAGACAAAAATCTATCATGAAGTCCATTAGTTTAAAATTTGTAATTTTTCATTTCTAGTTGCACAATAAAGGAAAACCAATTCATATATCATCTTCTCTACGCAATTGGTGGACATGCGTACGCATGTCACCTCCTAATAACGAAGGGAAGCTACTTGTCATCCTAAAATTAAATCAAGGCTAGATTGAGTTTGCCCGTCGAACTAGCTTTCTTCATATCTATACGTAATTAATATTACTTGTGCCAAGTAATTTCGTTCCAAATATACGTCTAACATATGGCGAATATTTATACACATATATATACAGCATGAGTAACAATTAAATATGAGTAAAAAATCTCAGCACCAAAAAAAATAATAATAATAAAAAAGAGCAAACAAGATCTCCTCTCTGTGAATAAATGGTCAGTGCGTGTTTGCGGAAGTGAAAGTTACAGCACTTTCATGAGGGTGCGTGAGAGAAATGGAGCAATATACTCTCAATATAACTGTGCATCACGAAAAAATATCTCGCTCCTAGTAAGCATTATCTCAAGCACTATTGTTTTCTCGGTATTTCTTTCAATTATAGATACAAAATCAATGCATTCTTCAATACTCTCACACTGTTCATTACAAAAAAAAATACATGTTGTTATTAACTACTTAAATTTCTGTACTAATTAAGCTTACTTTCCGTTTTAGTCCTTGATTTGATGTAACATATATAACTGCCGACTGCATAATAAAGACGGTCATAATTACGAGATCTGATTATTAATCTAATAAAAAGAATGTGACACATTAATTGACATCTATTGAAAGCTTCTTTTCCCCCGTTCACCAGCAAAAGCAAGCCTCGTTGGGCAAAAACAGTGAGGAGGTCGGTCGATCGTAATTGAGACCAAACTACAATATCCCATCAATAAAAAAAAAAACCATTTTGGAGTTACAAAGAGAGATAAATTAACAAACCTCTCATGATCATGATCAAGAGTCACATGAGTAGTACATGATCCCTAGCTAGCTAAGAAGCATGATCATCTCTTCTGAGCTTGTTTAGCAAAGCAGTGATAAGAGCGTCCCTCTTCTCAGCCCTAGCTTCCTCTCTCATCCTTCTCTGCTCTTCCCTCTCTCTCCACCTCCTCTCCATCATCAACCTCTCGCTCTCAAGCGCTTCCATTGTCTGCCTCCACTCCATCTCCTTCAACCGCCTCTCCTTCTCCCTCGCCTCGAACGCCTCTCGCCATTGCGCCTCCATTTGCATTTGCTGCTTCATGAAATCATCTAGTATCTCTTTCAAATTATTGCTGCTAATACCACCTCCTGAAGTAGTTCCACTGCTACTACCAATAGCCTTCACTTTCTTCATTTTCTTTCTCATTGTACTCCCAATATTGCCCTTTTGTTCTCCTTCACTACCGTCGTTGTGTTCGTCATCGTCGTCGTCGGAAGACAGTGCAACAGCTTTCTTCTTTGATCCAGTTCCTTCGGCCTCAGCCCACAACATTCTTTGCATCCGAGCGGTGAAAATCGCTTGGAGCTCATTATAAAATGGGAATTGCTGCCTCACAGTTTCAGCCTCCATAGTTTCACATCCCTATATTATATATTAAAGTACATATATATTTTAAAAAAAAGTAATTAAAATAAGATGTCATGATTTCCCCTTCGAAACACAAAGAAAAATACATGTCAATCTACAATAAACCAAAACCCTAAAACAATCAATCACCGGTGTCTCCATGAAATTCATAAAAATACAAAATATATAAAAAGAATCATTTTTGTTGTCGATGTTTTTAAACGTCAACTAAGAAACCATACATAAATTAATATGGAAATATATAGTGAATATATACATGTATAACAACTATTAGTGGTGATGAATATTAAACCGCACCTTGTATCTAGTAACTAGATTTTTCCACTTGCACTTGCACTGTTCTGGGCTGCGATTGAAACCCTTTTCTTTCATCTTGTTGGCGATGACTTCCCAGAGGAGCTTGTTCCGTTTGGTCTCCATGAAAGTCTGGTCGAGTTCGGCTCTGATCATCAGCAACTCCTTCGTCTCTTGCATACTCCATTGAGGAAATCTGTCGCTCACATCCACGCTTACGCTTATATTCTGCTGATGATGAATCGCCTGTTGTTGTTGTTGTTGTTGTTGATATTGATGATGGTGATGGTGATGATGATGTCCCTCCATAACCATAAACCTTTTTTTTTTCCTCTTTCTGAATAAGAATAAGAAGAAGAAGATCTCAATCTAGAAGACGAAGAAAAAGTCGGATGGATTAATGGAAGAGAATATTATATGAGGGTGGTGTGAATGGGCTGGTGTGAATCGTCAAGGAGAAAGAAAAAATATTTTCCCTTTTTCCTTTCAAGTGTCAACTGTCAAAACAGAGTTTTTTTTTTTTCTTTCAATTTTTTAATCTATACTTATCATTCGTTCAGATTTCAGAAAACTAACGAAGAAAGCTTTTCTTTTTCTTTTTTAGTTTCTTTTTTTTTTTCCCCTGCTTTCTCTAAAACAGCTCTTATTTTCCCAGTCTCATCTGTCCACGCGGAAACAGAAAAATAAAAATAAAAATAAAAATAAAAGGATATAATTCTCTCTCTATCTATCGCTCTTTATTTTTTGTCTACTTCCACATTTGTTCCCATTGCATGCGTTTACGCGTCGTCACGCTTACGAGAAAAAAAAAAAAAAAAGTCGTATTATTAGAGTGGCGGGTCTTTTATTATCTGCTGTCAGTTCTACGAAACTTGCACTGCAAGCTCTCTTTTTAATTTTCCGAATTTCTTTTCTTTTTTTCTATTTTTTTTGGAATCTTCTATTCAACTCTCTGGGTTCTAGTCTTTGCCCTTTTGACAAGAAAAAGGCTTTCGAGACTTAACTGGATTTTGGCAAAAGCTTTGCATGCAATGGATTTCAAAATCTAAAGGAACTAAAAAGGGTGAAAACTGATCTGTAATTTCCATCTTTATTCAGAGTTCTGTGGGCTGTTTATTTTATTATTATTATTATTATTTTTTACGGGAGTTTATGATATCCTACGCGGTATTCTGTCATGTCCCACGTGTGAGCGCCTACCCTATTTATCCACGTGGCAAACATGCAGGGAGATGAGTATGAAAAAGCGTCAGGCCCACCAGTCTTGTGGTTCACACTTATAAGACCTGACCTGTTACGGTCGTTATACCTTACCCGATCAAATATTTTGACCCGGGAAATCGTATCATTTTTTCTGCCAATTAGAGCCTGACGCGTTTATGAAAGGAGGGGTAGATCTGTCATTCCAATTTAAGATATATTTTTTGGTTCGTGCTTTCGAGAGAAAATTGGTTAGGGTACATGAATATAAATTTTTACTCCTTACTATTTATTAATATTTTTTTAATTAAAAAAAATATAAATTAAAAATAAAAAATAAAAATCAAGAACATTCACTTTTAAAAGATATTTATCAAACACAAAAAAGTAAAAAAAAAATGTGATAACATGTACAATGTAATAATAATTCTACGGCTGACTATAGCATATTGTATAGAATTGAAATTCTCCACTTTGAAGTTAAAAACATGTAATAAAAGATACAATTTTTACGGTTGAGTTCGACCCATAAGAACCTTACATTTGATAAAAATTACATTAAAATAAAACGATATATAGACTTATTTAACTGTTTCAAATAACATTTTATTTTAATCTCATTAGTACTTCTGAATTTTGAGGTCATTTTCATTTTACTTCATAAATTTTAAAAACTCTCACTTTACCCTTTGAATTTTGACATTGTCCCATGTAAATTTTTTTGTAAGAACTTTTGTTAAAATCAGATGAAAAAAGAGGGGATTAAGTGTGGACATGTGGTTTTTATTTGTTTATTTTTAACATAAATTTAAATAAAAAGACCACATGACTACATTATTATTTTTTATCTATTTTTAATAAAAATTATAATAGAATGGTTTAAGTAGAAACAATTCAAAATTATAACAGAAGGAGTATTATTAACATAAGAGATAATGTGAGAGCTTTTAAAATTCGATGGGCATCCTAGAGATGAAGGTCAGAGTACCAATAATAATAATTCTAAGGTTTTTATTCAAATCCTTTATAAAGTTTTTTAAAAAAGTTAAAATGAGATTTTATGATATGATACAAAAAATATTGTATCAATTGGACACAATTCTAAACAATATACAAGAATCATATAAATTAAGAAAAATATTAAGATTTAGCTAAATTTGATAAAAATCTTAAAACACTTTTTCATATGGTGTTCTCTTCATACCTTATTGTACAAGTTATCTTTAACAGATGGACTTTTTAAGAGAAAATCTCAATTTATCTTTTAGAAAGTTCAATTTATATTATAATATTAGAGCCTAATAAATGCATGCACCGATCCTTAAATATAAGATTGGTGACTCTCACTGTACATCTTGTGGCAGTCGTACGTTATTTGAATATAAAAACAAACAAAAATTCGTAAACACATTTAGAAGATCATATATATATATATATATACATATATATTAGGAATTGGTCGCTAATTATTATTATTATTATTATTATTATTATTATTTGCTTAATATATACTTACTTTAGTTTATGGTCACTTTCATTAGATCTTGACAAACACAAATTATCTTCAGTAACATTCTTAAAAAAATCATCTTTTTAGAAACATTGTCAGGTTGTTACTTATCAATAATTTATTACGTTAGTTTTTTTTTTTTTTTTTTTTTTTTTTTTTTGTGGTTAACAAACAGGATATCGACTTTGGGATGAAAACAAACTTACATAGCAATTTTTTGGTAGAATAAGAGTGACTATTATATTTTTTATTTTTATTTTTACTTTTTTGTAAGGATTTTTGTTTTAAGATATTTTTCAAGGATATCTGTTTTAAGGATTTTGTAAGGTATGTGATTACTTTAAAAAAAATAAAAAGGACTCTATTCTTGTCCAAAAATAAAAATAAAAAATATCTATTATATCAATTCGAGAAAATTTGTCGTGCACAAGAAAATAATAGTAATTAGTCTTCACCGACATGGGAGAAACGGAATTCCAATTGGGTAGCCGAGAAGTGGTAAAACAAAACATTTTCAATTGACAATCTTCTGGGAATCTAATGGTGAGACCAGATTTTGAAAGCCAGTTGTTTTCGATGTGCAATACCGTGGTTGACCCCCTTGTTCCGAGTAAGATCCTTTATAGATAAATGGTATGATCCTTTCAATCCAACATGTGAGTTAATAATATCCATCATGTTATCGTTTTACTATTAAACTGTTACTGTTATTATAATATTACCTCTTATACGATAATATAAAGTGGAGTTCTATATTGAAGCTGTCTAAAATTTTCGTCCTATCTATTTTGTCATTTAACATATTTCTTTTCCTTTCTTTTCTTCTTTTCTATTGACGTAGCTTCTTAACCTTTTAAACACGTCACTTTTAACATTCGAAATTTCAAAACTAACCTTGAAATTAAGCTCTGACCTTTACTCCCTTTTCTCCCACTTTCCTTCACAAAGTCAAGAACCACCTCCCCACGCGGTCAGCACCGCCGAGAAGAGCGGTATCCTCCTCGTGTGAAGCAACTTGCAAGTCTCTGATCGCTCCATCGTAACGAGGGATCCCCCCCATGCATCGATATCAAACCGGCCTGCTGAAATCACAATATCGTTGCCATATTAATGAGCTTCCTCGCAAGTGACATATTTAGAGCAGCAATGAGCTCATCATGAACTTCAATGTTAAGAATTTTGGGGTTAGGGTTAGTGATGTTGTGCTGAATTTGTAATTTTCAAAAGGGGTGCAGCCTAATTTTGAGCCCAAACTATGCTTGGAGCATCTTGGTGGATTATAGGAGCATAAATGGTGCTATTCATTCTTGGTTCGGACGTATTTTTTAACACTTAAGGTATGTTTTGTAGTGATTCTTAGAGTCTAAAATCAAATCTCTAGCCATCCACAGTTGAAATTTGTGTTTAGTAAAAAACATAAAAGTGACTCTTAAAGAATTTACAATTAAAATCAGAAACAGTCTAAAGGCAACTTTGACTTTTAGATTATGCAGCAATCACCTTAAAATACAATTAATAAAACTTTCATAATACCCGTCATATCCCTGAAATCAATACTTGTATAATTACAATTTACTAAACACTCAACCGATTTTTGTAACGGTTGTTTTTTTTCAAGCACAGTTAATAGTAATTTTTTTAAACTCTATAGCACTACCAAACTGGCCCATACTAGGTTTTAAGTCAACAACAAGTGAATTGGACAAATGATGGAAAGCAAGATGTAACCCAACAGGTTCTTCAGTCCAACGTAACCCAAAAATCTGAGAATATATTCCCTAAGAAACACGCACAATATTTCTGACTCAAAGCCAAAACCACGCAGTTGTATTTTTTCTACTTTTACCAAGCGAAAGCCTCAAAAGAGGACAAATACGGATTATTACAGTGTGTTGTGTTTGATAGGGTAGAAAAGAGAAAGAAAAGAGAATAGACGAAGGATTTTGTAGAGAAAAATGTAATTTTAAGTTGTTTCTTAAAGAGGAAATGAGGAAGGAAGGAAGATAAAAATCTATAGGGCTCACTAATTTTTAATCATTCTAACTTTGGGAAGAAAAGAGGAGGAAAAAAGTTTGACAAAACAATGAGATGTAAAATAATAATTTTAACATTTATCATTCATCATATTTTTATTTGTATTAGGGTATTATTATAAAATGCCTTAAATTTAACATTTTTTTTTCACTTTTCTTTCTCTTATACACCAAACAACACGAGAGAAAATCATTTTATTTCTTTCACCTAAGTATTTTACTTCTCTTTCTTTTATATTTTCCATCCATCCTACCAAACATAAAATTAGAGAAAATAACTACAGAAAATAGGTACCCCTTTTCAACCGCTGGAGGAGTTTCTCCCTTGAAGCCGAAAACAAGATGAGCCATGCAAACCCATTGGCTTTTAGTCGTTAACGTGGGCAATTTCACATCTACAAGATCACTCGGATGGACTTTTAATAAACTAGCATATCTGTGGGTTTTGACTTATACTTCACTCGTAAAGGATCTAAAAATCTGCGAGTTAAGTGTGGCCAGCTCATTTTGTTGGCCATTTCTCTGTTTATTTTTTCATTTTTCTTAAAATTCTGTTCACGTGTGTGATTCATGACATTTCGAAATATACAAAAGCAAATTGAATTTGTTTTGTACACAATGACCATTTGCAGATTGATATTAGCTGGTACATCTAAATTCCAACTCCAGTGAGAACCAGTTTTAGCAACGATGAGGACGCGGCCGGTGTATTCATTTGACTTCTAGCAGAAATGCTTTACAAGTTTTATAGAAGAAAAAAAGTTTTGGGGTTATTCTTTTGCATTTTTAAATTACGGTGATTTGAGTGATGATTTTGAATTGAGTTTGAGTTATAACTTGAGTTGAAGTTGTAACTTGAGTTTGTATTTAGATGTGCACATTTGAGTTATGATTTGAATTAAGAATCTTTTTGAATTTGTGTTTGGGCGGGTTAAAACTTAAATTTGTATTTAGATAGTATTTTAATAAAAACTCAATGGTGATGAAAAAATTTTAATAGGGTATATGAGTAGGGTTTTATTCATCTTTTCGTTGTGAATACACAGAAAAAAAATCATGTCGATCAGAATTAAAACGAAAAAGTTATGACATTTTTAAGAATAGAAAAAATAATGTTCATTAACTTGAGTTCGAGTTGAAAGAAAAATTTGAACTCGAGTTTAACCCCAAATTCGAATTCAAACTCAAATTTTACAAAAGAACATGAACTTGAATAAAATTGTAACTCGAATTTAAATTTTTTTCTGAGTTTTATTAAAAAAATAATCATTTTATCTCCTAATGGGATAATAGCTGCATACAAGTGGGTCCGCCACTTCATGAGTAGTCATGTTATCAACCCGTTCGGTTCGCTAATTCGAGTTTTTAATTCGAGTTGAGATGTGATGTTGTGTGAGAGTTTTTTACTGTAGCAAAAAAGTTAGATGTGACTGTTTCTGAGAGCTTTTTACTGTAGCAAAACTTGAATTCTAAACTCGAATCAGCGAAAAGAACGGAGCCTATTATATCTCCGTGTATACGTAGGTAGTGTTTTTTCTCTTTTTTTAGGGGAAAATGTAATTCATTAATGAGGAAAAGAGTCTAATTAGGCAAAGTTGGATAACTAGTGAGGAATTACGGAGCCTATATCTCCGTGTATACGTAGGTAGTGTTTTTTTCTCTTTTTTTAGGGGAAAATGTAATTCATTAATGAGGAAAAGAGTCTAATTAGGCAAAGTTGGATAACTAGTGAGGAATTACATGAGTCCAAAAAGAGCTAGGAGAAGACAACCAAAGTGAGCAAGAGCTAGCAATGGGCTATCACATCTACACGTCACATATACACGACGGGGGCCAAACAAGCAATAACAACGCATCTCATTAATACGATTACAAATATCAAGCCATTTGCACGTATAAATTAAATTAAAGATGACTCATCAGCCTATGATGAAAAATTTATAAATTAAAGATATAGATATAGATTATAGATTATAATATGCACGTTTTATACTACAAAATTAAGTAGTAATTATTACAAAAATTTTAATTTTTATTATCTTATAAAAATTTTACTTTTATAATTATAAGAACATTTTAAATCTTGTTATATTTCGACATACCACGTAAAATTGTGTTTGAAAACATGTTGCACATATTGGCCCATATACTGAAAAGAAAAGAGAGTAAAAAAGTAAATCAAATTATTGCAAACTCTATTGATGAGAAAGTAAAAACATTGTCGATACTTTACGAAATCTCCAGCATTGATAAGAATCCAGCTTTTCCTTACTCATGGAAGTTAAAAGATCAAACTAGAAAAGAGAAAACAGGGAAGAAAAAGTGGGCCTTATTCGGCAATCTGGGGGACCCACTACAGACCAAACAAAACACGTAAAAAAAAAAAAAAATAAAAAAAAATAAAAATCATCCAAGAAAAAAGAGCTCCGAAAAAAAATATAATTTTGCTATAAAATTTCGAATTTCCAATATAGTAATTTTTTTTTTTTTTTTTTTGCGACTATTACGAAGCTAACTTGACGTTATGATGGAATTAAAATTTTATTCTACTATTTTATTAAGAAAAAGAATGTCTTCTTAATATTCCAAAACCATTATTTGGGACAAGAGATTTCATACCTTACCTAAAAATTACTAATTTCCAACACATAAGAGAAAAATAAAAAGGAAAAAACCGGTTGGTGGAGTCCCACTTGGTCTTTGGAGACTAATAAACACAGAAAGGGAGGCGGTGACCCCTTTTGGTCATGTATGTATGCAAATAAAGGAGACAACAAACCGCATTTCCTCTCCATATTCCACCAGAGTCTTTCCTTTAATTATTTATGATATTTTTCATGGGGATCCTTCTATTTGCCCTTAATCTTATTAAGGCCCCTTGAAATTTGAAGCATTATAATTGTTGCTTTACTTGACATTGAAATTTAAATCCTTGTCTTGTGACTGATATTGGATATGAAAAACTTGATCATTTGTAATTTCGTTGTATATAAAATATATGTTTAATAACAAGAAACTGAATTAAAGTGAAATTTACTAAATGAGTTGACATATAAAATGATACAAAGAAATGTACTGAATATAATGCCATGAAACTAATGGAAACAAAATATCACATTTTTTTCAGAAAGCATAAAACATAGCAGTTTAATTTTAAAACAATACACAAAATACCAAAAATGCCCCTGCATATTGACAAACTACACTTGGCCACCGCGACTTTCGTGCGGTGCGCCAAAGATTAAGACATGATTTAGTGACAGAGTCATAAGTTTTTATCAGTAAAGCTTTAAGTCTTTTTTTCACAATTTAAATCACAAATCAAGTTCTATTGTTATAGTATTTTCTCTCATAAAAATTCAAGTTTAACCTTTTTATTAGTGTTTTTCTCTTAGTCTCTCACATACACAACTCAAATTTTTAACTTGAGTTGTGAAACATATATACCTTAAATTCTTAATGTTTAGATGGGGCTATATGCATGTGGGTATAACAAATTACCCACACACACACACACACACACATATATATATGTGTGTGTGTGTGTGTTTTTATATATGTTCAAGGGCTAATTCTACAAATGGTCCTTGAGGTTTGACCTTAATCCCTATTTAGTCTCTGACTTATAAAACGTCTCATAGTTGGTCTCTGAGGTTTTATTTTGTTTTAGTTTCGGTCATTCTATCAGTTAAGTACTAAATATTTGACAGAACTTGTGAAAATTAGAGATCAAAATCATAAATATCTAAAATTTAGAGGCTAAATCAATACAAAAATTAAAAGTTAATTTGGACAGCTGGTCTCTAAAATTTAGTCGTTTTCATTTTATTACCTAATTTATACAGATTTCGTCAAATATTTAATATTAAGTTAACTGATGGATAAAATGAAAGAATAAAATCTCAAGTACTAACTGTATGACGTTTTAAAATTCAAAGACTAAAGTGAGATTAAAGGTAAATTTCAGAGACCATTTGTGAGATTAACCCTATATTTAAACCCATAAGTTTACTCCTAAAGGTTCAAACCCACTAAATTCGAACCTCACAAAGCGAACGAGACTTAAATGTACTTTATTTTTAACTTTTAGAAGAGTCACAGGTTCAACCAAACATCAATAAAGATAGTAAACACTAGTAGAGAAAGGATGCTTTTAAAATTACAGCACAAGAGAAAACTTAATTTGTTATTGATTTTTGAACATAGACCCATTAAGGATACATTAATCCTATATGTTGCTACTTTGTTGCTACTTCAAAAGACCAGATTGATATTTAATGTTTGTTTGATTAACAATGTGTTTGGTAGAATGGAAAAGGGGAAGGAAAGAAATTAGATGAATGATTTTAAAAAGGAAAATGTAATCTTTGCAATGGCATTTTATTAATGAGGTGTAAAAGAATTATTTTAACTTTAATCATTCATCATATTTTTAGTTGTATGGAAGTATTATTGTAAAATGCATTATATTTAAAATTTTCTTTTCACTTTTCTTTTTTTTTCCTATTAAACAACATGAGAAAAAATCATTTTTCTATCATTTTACTTCCTTCACTCAAGTATTTTAGATATTCTTTTTTTCTATCCATCCACCAAACATAACATAACATACTTCATTGAAGTTTGTTTCTTCATTAGTTTATTTCTTCATGTCCAAAAGCTAAACAAAAGCGGCCAAAGAAAAAAAAAAACAAACTCAACATGCATATTATTGTCGTCAAAAGCTTTTTCCTTCAACGTTTAGCCAAAAAAAAAAAAAAAAAAAAAAAGAAAAGAGAAAGAAAAGAAAAGTCTTTGAATTCAAAAGTAAAAACTGGTAAAAGAGAAGGATAGATTTTGGTGGCGGAAATGAGTTTTGCAGGGAAAGGGATTTATTACCAATTTATTTTTTTTAAGCACTCTTAAATTAGATGGTCAAATCAGCAAAAAATGATTAGAATTAATGGAAGCTGGATGGAAACGAAGTTTTTTCTAACGAAATAAAGTTAAAGGGGTTGGAATGATGCACTTTAAAATTGAGGGGCATAGTTACATAATTCAAAAGGCAAATATAAAAGTTATTCAAAAAAAAAAAAAAATTAACAGTAAATTTGACTAACAAGAAACAATACAACTAAACGTAATATTTCAAACATCACAATAATTTCAGACTAGCCTCCTACTACATAATGTATTAGAAGGAAAGTACGAAGGCCAAACACGAAAATTATAAATATTAGGGTAGAACTTTTCTCAGTCTTTTTTTTTTTTTTTGAAAGATTGAAGGCTTATCATTCTGTCCCTTGTAGGGGTGTTCTTTAATACGCATTTTTGAGAACCCAATTATTTGTTCTCTGTTTTCTTTCTTCATTTTTTTTTTTTTTTTTCTTTTGGAAATCTGCTCTCTTTTTTTTTTTTTTTTTTTTTTTTTCTTTTGGAAATCTGCTCTCTTTTTTTTTTTTTTTTCTAGTTCTACTCTACTCTGCTCTCTGTTATTTTAAAACTATTTTCGGCCCTAATTCTCAATGAAATCCCAAATTAAAAAAAAAAGAGAACAAACAAAAGATAAATTAGCTTAGCAAAAAAGAAAAGAAAAACAAAAGATAAATTAAAAACAACCCAAATTCCCGATTGATTTGTCTTTCTCTGTCTTCCCGTTGTCACCGTCCCGTTCCGACCGTTCAAACCTCCCCTTCGATTAGCCGACAAAACTCACAGAACCAAAGAAGAACATCAGAAATAAAATATTCGCAAAACAAATATATAATATTCAAACCACCCAGAAATATTCGCCTTTATAATTATAAATAAATATATTTACTGGAGGAAAAAGAATACAACATTAAAACAAATACAAAAAAGACCAAAACAGTCTCTCCTACACTAATACACAACCGTTACCTTACACTCCAGTCTCCACTGTTCTCACTCTTCTTCTTTTTCTCCTCTTTTAATTTCTCTGTGATTTTTGTTCTTCATTGCTTGGATTTCGTTTTCAGAGATTTTGTAGTGTTGTTGCATTTGCTTCTGAGAGCTAGGGTTTCGGCATTATCATGTGAAACCCTAGCGAGGGTTGGGTTGGGGGTTAGGGTTTTCTCGAGATCTGTAATCGGCTAGCTGAGAGCTTTGCAATGGGAAATTGTTGCAGATCTCCGGCGGCCGTAGCCAGAGAAGACGTGAAATCGAACTTCTCTGGTCACGATCACCGGCGAGACTCGAATGCCGGGAAGAAAGCTCCGATCACTGTGCTAAACGGCGTTCCGAAGGAGAACATTGAGGAGAAGTACTTGGTGGATCGGGAACTCGGGAGGGGGGAGTTCGGAGTGACTTATCTTTGTATTGATCGACAGACGAGGGAGTTACTGGCTTGCAAGAGCATTTCAAAGCGGAAGCTAAGGACCGCGGTGGACATCGAGGATGTGCGCCGCGAGGTGGCGATAATGAAGCATTTGCCGAAGAATTCGAGCATCGTGACGTTGAGGGAGGCCTGCGAGGACGACAATGCCGTGCATTTGGTGATGGAGTTGTGCGAGGGTGGCGAGCTTTTTGATCGGATTGTGGCGAGGGGGCATTACACGGAGCGGGCCGCCGCGGCGGTGACCAGGACGATCGTGGAGGTCGTGCAGCTCTGCCACAAGCACGGGGTGATCCACAGGGACCTGAAGCCGGAGAACTTTCTGTTTGCCAACAAGAAGGAGAATTCTCCTTTGAAGGCGATTGATTTTGGGTTGTCCATATTTTTCAAGCCAGGTAAGGAACTGACTTGAAGCTCACGTTTTGGGTCTTGGATTGCCAGGATTCAGATTTAAGCAATCTTATATTTGAATGTGGTAGTTTTGACGTACGACTTGAAGCAATGTTAAATACTTAATTGGCATACTAATCTTCTTTAAGTAATTTTCAGGGACATGTGTGTTAAGTTAAGACTCTGTTTAGCTCGATTTAGAAAATTGGTGTAGGAAGCATAGTCATTGGGAAATTCTTGACTCTAAATTCCTTAATGTTGTGATAAAGGAGAGCTTCATTTTATGGGTGGGATGACGGTTTAGAAAAAAAAAAAAAAAAACTTGTGATTGTATTGTTGTGGTTAATTATATGCTTCAATGCCGAAATCTGTTTATGAACTAAAACGGGTGACCATTGTTTACTGCACTAAGAATTTCGATCTGACGTAACTTTGCTCGGTAAAGTTGCAACATCAAGCTTTTTCATTGTCACAGATGTGTGAAAAAGCATTCAAATGAATCTCTCTGAACCAGCAGCGGGTAAACCCGACCAAGTTTCTTTTGTTTGTTTACTACTGTTGCTAATTTATTTTTTTAAGGGAAATACATTTAAGAGATAAGTTGCTATATGTATACTATGGCATTTAATTAATTCATTTGACGTGTAAGAGATGACATAAAGCTAATTAATATAATGCTAATGCATATGATGCGGATAAATAGCTACCAGAAAGTTCATATTTAAGACAGAATGTTTAGGATTTCTAATTGGTGTTGTTAGAGGGATAATTTTGTGTGTTTCACTCTGGTGCTAGGCGGTCTGGATTTTAATGCGTTATGCCATGCTACCAAGTACCAATTAGAGCCTTAAAACAAAATAATTGGCACTAATTGACATGGTAGAGTGACCACACATTGAAATCATTCTGAACAAGTGCATTGTAGATGATCTTACATTTTTATTCATCTCGTTCATGTTGTTCATTAGATTCAGTTGGATTAAATTTATAAATTGGAATAACTATTCTAATTCAAGCATTTCAAAAATAAATCATTATGTGACTATAGCTTGCTTTTACAATCACTTGTAAAATGGTGTTAATGAATCCTCTTTTTACAGTTCCATAGGTTTCATTTACATTGTGGAAAAGTCATTATCCACTGCATTAATCCCTGTTCATGGATCATGGTTTCTTGTCAAGCTTTCTCTTGTCATCTCAAAGTCCTGGTTTGTTTCCTATGACGATTCTTTTGGCGTACCAGGTTGTGTGTGCCTTAACATTGTTTGCTGCTACTAAAGCATTTAGAGTGTTTAGAGTATTCCGTTGATACATTGAATATACATTATGGTTCTCACATATATGGAAACTTGGGTTTCTACAAGATTTTGGTATTCCTTTCTTCTCTCCCTTTTGATCTTCTCAATGCTAGCTGACAACAATCCAATCTATTTTCAAGGAACTGGTGCTAAAAATAGCTTCTTTAAATGGCCTTGGTTTAATGATTTCTTGATTGTTTTTATCAACTTATTATGTTACTTTGGGCATCTTGTTCCTTTATTATATATTCACTTTCTCAAGTCTTTAGGTGAGAAGTTCTCTGAAATTGTGGGAAGTCCATATTACATGGCTCCAGAGGTGCTGAAGCGCAGTTATGGGCCAGAAATTGATATATGGAGTGCAGGAGTTATTCTGTACATTTTGTTGTGCGGGGTTCCTCCTTTTTGGGCTGGTAATTATGTTCCAATAGTTTTCTCTATTATGCTTCTTGTATGTTTTTGCTGTAAAGAAATGTAGTTTATTATTGCTTGTTTGATGTCATTCTTGAGCTGTATCAGCTGTCTGTCTTCGCAATCCAGATTTTATTACTTTTTTTTTTCTTTGTCCGTTGGCATGTAGAAGGTTGTTTTACTTACCTTAAATATGTTCCCATTGCAGAGTCTGAACAAGGTGTTGCACAGGCAATATTACGTGGGTTAATAGATTTCAAACGTGACCCATGGCCCAATATCTCAGAAAGCGCCAAGAACCTAGTCAAGCAGATGTTGGAGCCAGACCCAAAGCTACGACTAACTGCCAAGCAAGTTCTTGGTCTCTCTCTCTCTCTCTCTCTCTCTCTCTGTTTTCTTTTAATGATAATATGGCCTCATTATAATGATAAAGTGCATGTTAAAATTGGCAAAGTCCCTATTTTCTACCTTATTTTATTCGGCCTACAAGCCATATTTTGTAAACGCTGGTTTTCTTTTTACATCTTTGTCGATATTTTCTCTCCTTATATAACCCATGGTCAGGCAAAATCAGCTATGTAGAAAAAAGTGAGATATTGCCGGCAGTTACATAAGCTACTTCCAAGTAGAAGTTGCAATAGAAGAAACGGAATGCTAAAGGGGCCTTGCTTTATTAGATCACAAAACCCAATAATACCATAATACATTGGGATCTCGTGCCTTTGTATCCTTGATTCTTTACTTCATATAACAACAAAAAATTATTTTTCAACATAGATTTGTTTCCTTTTTTTTTTTTTTTTTTTTTGGTGGTGGGGCTTGGTTGACTGTGCCTTAAGATTTAGGAATTATACAGTTCTCCAGATGGATTGATCCAATGTATGTGTTTCTTTTTGCAGAGCATCCTTGGCTCCAAAATGCTAAAAAAGCGCCAAATGTCCCTCTTGGAGACATTGTCAAGTCAAGGCTTAAGCAATTCTCAATGATGAACAGATTCAAACGGAAGGCCTTGAGGGTTAGTTACTGCTTCAAATTCTATCTTCCTTTTTGTTAACCTTATGTAAAGGGTGATTGAAGTTGTACTCTCAACCAGGTTATTGCCGATTTCTTATCCACTGAAGAAGTTGAAGACATCAAGGAAATGTTTAGAAAGATGGACACAGACAATGATGGTATTGTTTCAATTGAGGAACTAAAATCTGGACTTCGAAATTTTGGTTCCCAGCTTGGAGAGTCTGAAGTTCAGATGCTCATTGAAGCTGTAGGTGTCATTGCTTTGTGTTCTTTCAAATGCATCTTTTCTACGACATCAATGTTATATAATCTACTAGACATTGCACTATTCAAGTATCCAGATAGTATCTTTATGTAGATTGCAGTTAGGATGCTATTTTTTTGTTCTTTCTTCTATTAGGCAGACTTTATTCACTTTTCTGCTTCTAGATTTCTAGGAGCTATAGCTGAAATAATTAAAGTGAGATTGTCTAGTAGCTCTTTGTTTATTTATTTATGGGAATTCGCTCTCAAGTTGTCTGGTGGTTTGGTTACAAGTAGCAAAGGCACCTGTAAAGTGAAGATGAGTTCATTTTGATGCGACAATTTTTAACTTTACATGTACGTCTAGAACTAGATGGTGATTGTTTATTTAATCATGCCATATGCATGCCTAGAACTCTACAAACAATAATTTTGAGTGCGTCGAGATTTCATGGATATGTTGGGACTCTGATGTTGCGTCTTCATGTAGATTGTCAGTGGAACATGATTTGTTCTTGTTTGCTCTGATTTTGATTGGGTTTATTCCCGACAGGTTGACAATAATGGAAAAGGAACTCTGGACTATGGAGAATTTGTTGCTATTTCTCTCCACCTACAAAGAATGGCCAATGATGAGCATCTTCACAAGGCCTTTTCCTATTTTGATAAGGATGGAAATGGTTACATTGAGCCAGATGAGCTCAGAGATGCCTTGATGGAAGATGGAGCTGAGGATTGTACAGATGTAGCGAATGACATATTCCTAGAAGTTGACACGGACAAGGTTAGACTTGGGACCCAATTATCACCTTTGATGCCTTCATGATCTTGCGGATGATAAGTTGATGTTATTATGTAATTAATGCAGGATGGGCGTATTAGCTATGATGAATTCGTGGCGATGATGAAGACTGGGACAGATTGGAGAAAGGCCTCTCGGCATTACTCAAGGGGAAGATTCAACAGTCTTAGCGTGAAGCTTATGAAGGATGGTTCCTTAAATTTGGGGTAGGTTACTGAGATACACGCGATGTTGCTTTTCAACATATCCATACAAAAGAAGTGCTGTATCATTTTTCTGAACATCTGGTACTTGCTTTCTTTTGTGATTATTTGTTGGCGTCTCTTTGATCAAAATGGGCCTCTACGTTTGCTTGGTGCCTTACGATGATTATGATGGAGGTCTTGAGTACAATTATTTGTCGGTCGGCAAATGTTGATTGTGTTAAACAAGGTCCTTGTAGCTACGGCGCAGCCTGTATGATTCTGTCCTTTTTTACCATTTCAACCTTTCTGTGATTGTTTTTGGTTGACAATGTGGAGTTGAACTGCAAGTGCTGCAGCATACTTTTGTAAAAGAAATATGAAGATCTTGGTAGTGTGAATGTTCTGTCCCTCCCACAATAGCTACTTTCACCTCGCTGTAGAAAATCATTGTTAGTCATTTGGATGCTATTCCTAATCCTAACCTTATTCCCAAGGGACAAACAAGGAAAGCGTCGCATTTTCATGATAAATGTCATTTTTCTTTTAGGGGCCTTTTCTACCACGTTTAGCCATACAGCTTAAGTGGTTTTATCAAACTTTTTTTTGTTTTTTTTCCCCCTCTCCCTCGGACGCCTTCTGAATTTTTTGCGTTTAGCAAATCTCTCTCTCTCTCTCTCTCTCTGACGCTTTCTGAATTTTTTGCGTTTAGCAAATCTCTCTCTCTCTCTCTCTCTCTGACGCTTTCTGAATTTTTTGCGTTTAGCAAATTAGTCCCTTAATTAAAAATCTTGGCAATTGATCTGGTTTAAAATTAGTAGTTCTTTTCCTGCTCGAGTTAAATCCTATACGAGCAAATTTTGCGTAGTTGTCTGCTTAAAATATTTGTTATTCTTTGATTCATTGTGAGGGGGAGAGTTTTACTCATATGAGGTCCCATTCGAGGATAAAAGACCTAGGATAGGTTGCCCTCAATAAAAGCTCACCTGAGACTCAAATGCAAGAAAACCATAAAAGCTTTATCCTCGCTTTCGATTGGACCTATCATATAACGAATTTTGAAGTTTGAAGTGTCAATTGTCAAGATTTTTAATTTAGAAACTAAATTTGTCAAACACGAGAAGTTCATGAGACATCTATGCAAATAAGCGGTGAATTCAAGTTTGGAAGGAATTCTCATCCCCTGAAAACAAAAAACTGGAACTTGGAACTACTTGTGGTCGTTAGGCGGAGGATCGATGGCCCAAACACCAAATCAACTGAAAAGGGTCCATACTAATGTGGCTGATTGGTGTTGGGCTAGACTTTAGGTCAACACGAAAGAGAAAATAACGTAGAATGCTACAAACGTTACAGTAGGCAGATTTCTGACCAACTTATTTGATCGTGCGTATAATTTTCACCTCAAAAGTATTGGAAAATAATAGAGACCAAATGTTTTTGAGCTCATCAAGCCATCTTGAACTTCCGGGCTCAAGGCCTTACTGAAGTCATGATGGTTCAGAACCATACCGGGGATTTTGAGAATGAGAAATAGTAGAAAATAAGCCAATATGAAAAGCTTAAGAAAGTACATAGGTCAATTTTTAATTATAGAAATTAATAGGTCATAACTTGATAAAGTTATGTTTCATAACCATTTAAGTTATGGACAAACTTGTCAAGTTATAGTTCATAGCCAGACAAGTTATGGATAAAAACCGTGAATTATAGACAATAACTTGTCAAGTTATGGTTCATAACCAGACAAATTATGGACGAAAATAGTAATTTAACCTATTTATTAACTTATGTAAACTATTAGCCTATTAATTTTAATTCATCTCAAGTCTCAGCCTATTTCCCTCTTTCTCCCTTTGAGAATTGAACTTGAAGTACTGGATTGTAGCTTCCAAAAAAAAGAAAAAAAAGAAAAGGAGAGCGTGGTAGATCAGAGAAGGGTGAGAAGGAGATCATCGAATATAGATAGCACATTGTTATATGTGGAGTAAATATGATAAACCTCGTATAACTATAATCAATCCCTTAAATATCATGAAGTACTTGGTCATAGATAAAAACTTAATTTCAAAAGATATAGTTCAAATTAAAGTTAACAATAAATATATAAATTTTGAAAGTTCATATAGATAAAATTGTGTGTTGTTTTCATGTCTCCTTTTGTGTCCCCTAATAAAATCATGTCATATTTATTAAAATATTTTAACTTCCTTTGACTTTTTAATTGACGTGATATGAAATTTTAATTGATGTGACATAATATTATTAGAGAGACATGAAAAAGATAGGAATAAAGATACACAAGAGTTAATTCCATCATAATGATCTTAAAAAATATAAGCACTAGTATATTTATTTGTTAAAATTTTTGAAGTTGAGAGTTAAAAGGGATTTTATTTTGTGACAATAAAGTCGTAATCCTTCTAGATGATTGATCTCAAACATTCTAATTTTGTGCTCATCCTTTCTTTATTCTATCATTTTCCATTTTAAAAAAAAAGATATTTATTCTTTTTGTGTAAACCCCTAATGCAAGTCAATTCATTCCATGCAATACCCACGGTTATCATTTTCCATGACAACAACTATATTTGAGTTTTAGCCACTCTGGCGAGAAATGTCTTGTCCACCAAATTATGTCTCTATTTTTCTTTGTCAACTCACAGTTCATATCACTTTTATTATGGGCCACGGAAGAGGTCGATTTGTGTTTGGCAATCTGCATAAATGGCGACGCTTGTCTTGTTAGGCGCAGCTACTTCTACAGTTTGCAGAGATGAGTTTGTAATTATTTATATCATGCAAAATCTATGCTTTCATCACATGCTACTTTGTGTGGAGTCGATATTCATGCCGACAAATTAGGCTCTTTTATAAGGTTAATTTATCATTAAATTAAAAGAGAAAAGAAACGAAGTGAAAAGAAAACACACACATATATTTACATATATATATATATATATTATAGTAACATATCCACTTTGATATTCATTTGATAGGGTGGAACCGAGGAAATAAAGGCTTTTTGGATAAATTTCCACCTGAACAATTAAGGTACAACTTTTATCAATTCCTTGTTTCTTTGTACATAAATTTATCATGGCAGGCAAATGGACGAGGAACTGAAGCATTTTTAATTCTGTTTCAATACTTTCTTTATGACGCCAAAGTTGTCGTCTACGTGGAAGCCACTTTCCAAGGATTACAACTAGATATATTTTGACGCATATTTAGTTAATCATATCTCTCTGTGTATGCTTTTTATTGCGAAATAATATTGCTCAACGTCTGTAATTTTCTTCCATTTTTGCAATTGGAAGTTTGATTCATTGATGTCATGGAAAAGAGCTAACAGTTGTACTTACTTTTGGACTGTTTTGTACTTTGGGTTGGTTTTGGGATAACAGAAACTAACGATTAACCCTGTTAATTTTGATTGAGACAATCATTACAGCGGAAGTTCCAGTAGTAACTATAACTATACCTTACACGTATTTAGACTCAATTCATTTCGCCGATTCGAGTTTAGAATTTGAATTTTGCTATAGTAAAAAACTCTCAGAAACAGTCACATCTAACTTTTTTACTACAGTAAAAAGCTTTCACATAAATTCATATCTAAATTCGAATTAAAAACTCGACTCAGCGAACTAAACAGACACTTAATAAGTCTAATTCATATTTACAAAAAAGAATTTCTGTTTTTTTTAATAAATTGAATAGAAGAGGAAAAAAAACATCAATGCACCGAAAGAATATCACAACCAAAATCGCACCCTCGAAAGCACCAATCCAGCGTCAAACCCCAGATTTTTAATATTATTATTGGAAAAAAGGATTAAAAATTCACAATAATTGTAATAGAAATTGTAGTATAGATTTCGTGTTCGTTTGGCTCGTTAATTTGAATGTGTTGATTTGAATTTTTTTTATTTGAATAAGAAAATCTGAATAATGTAATTTAAATAGTAGTTTGAACTGGCAATTGGATACGCAATAGAACTTTAATCCAAATAGAGAATAAAGTCTGAATTAGTGTTTGGTTAAGGTCTTAAAATTGAAGTTTGAAACTAGTGTTTAGATGTGTAAAAGTAACTCATTTGAACTGGGTTTTTTTCTTTAATTGAAAATTTCATTTTTTTGACGTTGATGATAATTAAAAATTATGCACATTGAAAAGAAAACTTTTTACATTATAAACCTTTACAAAAATATATTTAAAAAATAGCATTAAAAAAAGTGTTATGCATTTTGTTTTGGGAGTAATTTATTCTTTTTATAATTATTTGGTGGCCATAAACGAACTATAGTTAATTACTATTGGGTCTAGGGTTTTCGATTTGGGAGAAGATTTGAAGCATAGGGTGTGTTGAGGAGGATTTATGGAGAAGGAAGCAAAAGAATCTCTGCTGTGAGTGATAGACACAACAGTCAAAAAAGGAAGAGAGGAAGCAGCGAATCTCTGGAGCCGAACAGCCCCTTTTCATAAACTTGAGTTCGCACGTAAATAGCATAATTATATTACATAGTTAGTAAATAGAAGATTCTTTAAAACAATTTTTTTGCTTATCTTATTTTACCCTTGTTTTTAATTACAGATTATAGCAAAACCCTGAAAATTTTAGAACATTAAATCCTTAAAAAGAAAAAACTCTCTCTCTCTCTCTCCTCGTTGGCTCTCTTTCTAGCTTGCTCTGTCTCTCTCGTCGTCGCCGCTGAATGTCTGCCGCCATCATCACTAGAAGAATCGCCGCCAGAAGAATGCCCATAGACGTCGGCATCTGTCCCATGTTGTCAGGATGATCTCTATCATGAACGATCGTCGTCATCACCAAATGGAAGAGGAGAGAAGTCGATCTTTCTGGAGGTGAGATGAGAGATTGACTTCAAGGTGCGAGCAGACTGACAATTTCAAGGCACCCCTTCTCCGACGACAATTCTCATGGCGATGACGGTGCAGTAAATCTAGGGTTAATTAGGATATAAAAAATTGGCAGTGCGACTATATTTCTGAGATTTTGAGAATTTTGATGTAAAATTTGCTAGTAATTTCTAATCCTCCAAAGTTTTGCTATAAAATTCTATTGTCCCCTACAAATATGTCATCTGCTTCTGAGAACCCTATCTAATAGAGTTTTTTTTGTTTTGGTTTTTGTTTTGTTTTGCTCATATATGTATTTAAATCGGCATTGTTCTCGAGATTTTTATATTGATTTTTGGGTCTATTTTAGTTATTTTATTTTAATTTGTTTTTGGTCTATTTTGTTGTATTTTAGCATATTTGATTTGATTTTGTTTTATTTTAGTATATTTCATTTTATTTCTACTTTAGGTTCCCTTCTATTTATTCTTTTTCCTTTATGTACCTAAATTAGTTGAGAAGATAATTATGGCAAGTTAGAGCTTAAATGGTGCGAAAAGATCGAGCCCGTGTTTGTGTCTTTGGTTCAGCCCAGTTTAAACGGCTCCACAGTCCTAATCTGTGTTTAGTGAGGCATTCAATTCGAATCAAACGGGTAGTTCATTTTGAACAAAACGGCCGGAGTTAGAGTTTTAGCCCCTCCTCAGTTCCACTTTTCAAGCTAATCTTCTCCCAAATTGAAAACCCCAGACCCAATAGCGTAGATGTTAGCTGCTCAATGCTGCCTCTGATTCAAATCGACCCAAAAAACCCTATCCCCAAGAGCTCAGAGATTCGCTGCTCTCAACTATCCGATTCTCGCTTCCTTTCGGTCGTTGCATCCATCATTGCAGCACATCGACGGGATCAAACACGACGATAAGCTTCTACTCCTTCCTTACGTTTGCCATATGATTTGTGGTTGTGAATGTGGATGAATGGTTGTCGTTTTGGAATACTGCGTTTTGTTTATGCTGTCATTTTGGATCTCCTCTGTGTGTGTGTGTGATGTCGTTTTTGAGCAAGCCCCTTCATACGTGTTGTCGTTTTGCTCACCACCCTTACGCTATTGTCGTTTTTGAACCCCTATCCCTGTTTGCATGGTATCGTTTTTGAACCTCCCCACCGCAAGTGGTTGATGTCATTTTTGACCCGTCCCCTATTTGCATGCATGCTGTCGTTTTTGGACCCTTATATGCTTTGCTGTTATTGCTGTCATTTGCTTATTAATATTCACCCATGTGCTAATTTGTTGTTGGTTATATATATATATTGTTTTTTTGTTTTTGGATAGATGTTAAGCTTCTCTCAAAATGATACTATAGAAAGAAATTGTTGCATTCAACCGTTCCTCATGTTATGGCTTCTGTGAAGAAAGTGTAGGATTAGAATAGTGGTATATTATAGAACCGTATAATATTCATGACTGTTTTGGTGAGTTCAAATATGTGAAATACCATTCTGTTGAGGAATTCTAGATCTTGGACTTTGAATGTATGACAACAAAAAAGGGCTAGTGTTATAAAATAGGATCATAGAAGGTGTAAGTTTTGGTTCACTCTTTGGGACTAACTTCCGGTCCTTAGGCTTTTAATTTCTACTATTTCTTAATTTGCTCTGAGTGTTGGACTTTTGGACCCTTTAACTTTGTTGTTATTGATGTCGTTTGCTTATTAATAATAATCTATGTGCTGATATATTGTTGGTTGTATCTTTTATTTTTTTGGATAGATATTAAGCTTCTCTAAAAATGATACCATAATTTGGTCTGAGTATTTTACTTTGAACCCTCTTACTTTGTTGTTACTTAAAGTTGTTTGCTTATTGATATTAGTCCATGTGCTGATATGTTGTCGGTTGTTTCCCTTTCGCATTTTATTTTGCTCTGATACCCGATTGCATTTTATATCAATTTCGCTATTTTTTTTAATGATTTTGAAATAAAAATAGAGAAAAATGACTATTCATACCCTTAATAAAAGGTCATGTGCGACAAAAACTGTATATAATTTAAAACCGTCTATATTTTACGATCTGGGTTTACCTCTAATTCCAGCGAAATAAAACGAAAAGTGGATAAGTACGAGTTGATTTTGGCGCATACATAAGTTGTGACCTCTTGGAATTTAGACTATTTGGGAAATGGATTATTTAGAGGTTTGTTTTTTCTTTTTCTGCTGGGGATTATTTAGAGCTTTCTAGACCCACGTATAAAATCTCTTAATACGTTTATGTCGGTCGCCTCATTTTGTTTTGTTTTTTTTCTTTTTTTTTTTTTTTCCCTGCTGGATATGTCGGCCTCATTCATGAGCGTGTAGGAATGAATATTCTCTCTCAGTTTATATCAATTAATCGTGTGTGCATGCTTTTGTTTATCTAGATAACGTACGCGTATGCAACACGAAAAGTTTCAGCTGGTGTCAAGTTTTGGTGAAAATTCTGTCACTAGCTAGCTAATACTATTCAACCTTTAGAACAACGGCATAATTGCTCATTGTTTTTCACCTTTTTTTTTTTTTTTCAATATAATCGTGCAACTAACTAGAACGAAAAGGCAAAAGTTTCCTAGGAATTTCCGATCTTCTAACTTTTCCTATAATTACGGGAGTATATCTATTCATTAGTGTTAATGCTACGTAACGTAGTCCCCATTTATTTCACTGATTTAGTTTAATTTAACTCAATTCAAATGGTGAACACAGTTTCATAAACTCATGTTTGATAAGCGGGCAATCAATTTATATTCTCCGTTTGAACTGAATTAAATTGTCCAATTTAGAGTTTAACTCGCCCTTAAGTTCAATCATTCAAACCATTATTAAACAATAAAAATGTGCTCACTCTCTCTGCTTTTCACACCTACTAAGCACAAATTCAAATATCATTCATTGTTCAAATTAAAATTTTAACTGCAGATCTAAACACCAATTCGAACACCAATTCAAACTACGTTGTTTGAAGTTTTATGTTTAAATAAAAAATTCAAACCAACAAATTCATATCAGTGAACCAAACGGGGCAATAAATCTTTTTGTTTTCTTGCTTACGACCCGGTTGAAGTTTGGTCGCAACGAAGGAAATAATGTACTTATATAACTTTATCATACCTATAGTAGTTCACTTTTAGTCAATAAAAAATAGTAGTTCTTATTATGAAGTAACAGTGAGAATGATGGAAGGGCGTGGGGGCCTAAAGTACAAAAAATGAATAAATTAATTGGGAAACGGAGAGGGTTAGGAAATTGAAAGAAATATTTTTACCTTTCAAAGCAAAATAAAAGGGAAACCGAGTTTTCAAATGGTAGGATTCACTGAATATATACTATTTTTTTCGCACTTATTGACATTTCTTATTTTACTTTTTCACACATTCTTGAACCATCCCCATTTTACTTATTATAAATCTCTTAAAATTTTTTAAAAAAATATCTACAAGTAAATTCACTCCATATATTATACTTTTCACAAATATATTCTTAAACCATCCCCTATTCTACTTGTTACATCCCTTTTAAAATTTTTAAAAAAAAATCCCCACAATTAAACTGTATGATTTTTCCTCGATAAAATTCAATTTAATAGTTTTCGTTTTTCAATGTTTGTTTTCTCCCAAATTTTTCTTCTCATAAATATACATACATGAGGTTTATACACTAATCAGAGGTTTTTGTTTCCAAAAACGTAATTATGGGGTTCGTATTAACGATTTGCACACACCGGGATTTAGAGCATATAATTTTCAGATGGAATAATTTTTTTAAAAGGATGGAGTGTGTATGGTCATTTTTAAAAAATAATTTATTATAAAGATTGTGAGAAGAATAAACTAAGGAGTGGTAATAGACTTCCGATAACCCTTTTTGTAATTTTATTAATGGATAATAGTAATAAGAAATTTTATGAAAAAAGAAGTGCGTAAAAAATAGAAGGAGGGGTATCAATGAATTTTCCTTTTTTTTTTTTTTTTTTTTTAGTAATAATATCCCAGTTGTTTTCTACCGAAAACAAAACTATACCCAATATGTGGATGTCATTTCTTCATCTAGTTAGAATCATACCCAAAAAAGATCCAATACGTGGTCCAATTAATTAATGCCAGAGTATAATTTCCAATTTTGGCTTGCTAATTCTTTCTCTTTGGGAGTATTAGAAAAAGAATTGTTCGTTCAGAAGGAACTTTTTGTCGTCTAAAGGAATGAAATTATTATTTGAGATCTGCTAATTATATTCGTTTAATTTATGTTTTAATTTGTCTTATCCAAATAGTTAAGTCTCATTTATTTTGAATAAAAAGTTAATGGTATTTTAATTATGAGAATTACCTTATTAAACCTCAAGTCTACAATTTTGACCGTGAACAATCACATTTTATTTCAAGGAAAAACAACATTATTTGGATATATATATGTATGTATGTTTATATCAATATTTGTAGGCGTGATTATGATATATTAGAGGGGCTAGCTGTAATACGTTGAAAGACAACATATATAATTATGTCGATCACCAATTGCGAGATGCCACATATAGAGTAACAGATTAGCACCACTGTCCAAGTAATTAGAACACGTGGGCAATAACTCTCTATCATGATTCACTTGGAGAACCATGCATTTTTTAATTGGTCGAGTCAACCACAAACTTTTGTCTCCCCTCTTTAAAAGGTATTGTCATTACCCAAAAACTATACAAAATATTTCATATATATGTATTGCAATATTACCGCAGACTACCTAAACAAAACGAAAATGGGTTTGGCATCTTCGTTACTCCCTAACTTCTTAATCAATGACCGTATTGAACCTATATTGATTTAAAAACATTACCCTCCAAAAGAGACAGTAGCATTTTATACCAAATATCACTACTTAATCAATTATCATTACTTTTAAGTTATCATCCTTTAATATTCTGCGCGTTCAAGAGCTAAAACGGGAGTATTTTAATTACTTGAAAATTTAATAAGAATGTTATGCCGCATTTATTTTTTTTCATCTTGTCTCGCACGATGAGATGTTCTTTGCATCTATTATAAATACTCTATTGATAATAATAAAATAAAAAAAGAAAAGACCTGTTTTAATTCTACACTACTAAAAGGTCCACAAAGCCCACGCAGAGAGAAAAAGAAAGGCACTATAACGGCCGAAACAACTAATTATGAACATATAATGTTGTATAATCATGATTAACAAGTCAAGTTGCACACGGCGCCGTAACTAGCTCCCCGTGATCCTTATAAAAGAGAGCCACTTCCCGTCCCATTCTTGCACATAAAACCCACTTCAAATAATATATACTAGTAATCCCTCTCCGCTAAAACCCCTCATTGGCAAACATCAAAACAATGAACTGCTTGCAGACATGGCCCGAACCAATTGTCCGAGTCCAATCCCTAGCAGAAAGTGGCATAAGAAAACTCCCAAATCGCTACATCAAACCCCACAACGAAAGGCCCCAACTCACGCTACTCAATCCGCAAGACGACATCAACGTCCCGGTCATTAGCCTGCAGGACTTGTTCTCCGGGAACGAGAGCCTCCGCGAGGCGACGCTGGCCTCCATATCGAGCGCCTGCCGAGAGTGGGGTTTTTTTCAGGTGGTGAACCACGGCGTGGACCCCGAGTTGATGAAGCGGGCCAGGGACACGTGGCGGGAGTTCTTTGAGCAGCCGCTGGAGGAGAAGCAGCGGTACGCCAACTCGCCGGATACCTACGAAGGGTACGGGAGCCGCCTCGGTGTTGAGAAGGCGGCGCTGTTGGATTGGAGCGACTACTTCTTTCTTCATTACATGCCTCCGTCCCTCAGGAAGCAGGAGAAGTGGCCTTCAATCCCTAATTCATGCAGGTAGAGTGACGTTACTATGTTGTTTTTTTTTTCTTTTAAAAAAAAAAGTGTTATGTATGACTTTTTTATTTTTATTTAATAAGATTTTTTTTTCCCCTTTGTGTCTTTGCATATAAATTATATATTTACAAGTCATATATGCGTTTTCTTGGTCAATGTTTTTCTATCTATACCAATAACGTGATTTAGACCACGTTCTGGAATAAGGCGTGTTGCCAAGTGTACGTGTGATCCAGTCGAGTTTATTATGTAAGGTGGTCTTTCGTTGTTATGTCCTTGGTTTATTGTACAGGGTTCATGTGATAAGGACATATACTTGCAAGAAATGCGCGTTTCCTTAATGTCAAAGAATAATTAAATACACTTGAGTGGCTCTCCTCTATGTGTTTGGATATTAGTAAAAGAATATCAAACAAAATGCAAACAATATATATTAGAGATGGTTAAAAATTTGCAAGATTAATTGCTGCTAATGAAGGTACTGAATTATGAGAAAATCTTTTGCAAACTATTTCTTTTTTCTATTCCTTCATGCTTCTTATTATGGAAGTAAGTGGGGGAAAAAAAAACTGTAATTGCTATTTCTCTATATATCTCCCTTAAAAAATATAAAAAAATAAAAAAATTTCTATATATCTCGCAATAGTAATTACTAAATATCTTTATTTTTTCCCCTTTGGGACAGACACTATTATATGGACTTCTCCATAGTTTGCTTCCTTTCTTTCTCACTCTATATATTATAATTACTTTTATAAGTATATGTCAACTCCAACATATTCCGGAATTATAACTACTTTAAAGACATACAGAGGACCAACATGTTGACGCACAAGTAGTAGTGCAAATTGCACTTCTTTTGCAATAAAAAGCACTTGGCAAATTGTTGCAGTTGTACTTGTTGCTTGTTGTCTGTGGTCTCCTGCAAATTCGAATCCTAGCCTTTTGACTGTTGCCACTAATTTTCATTTTTTTCATTTTTTTAATAATTGCTTAAAAATAAGAGTTGGCAAGTGCGATATATATCACTTGTTACTCACACATTAATATGTTGAATAAATATTGTAGGAATTTAATCACAGAATATGGAAATGAAGTGGTAAGATTATGTGGGACATTGATGAAGATTTTGTCTATAAACCTCGGCCTAGAAGAGGACCAACTTCAGAATGCTTTTGGAGGAGAGAACAATGATATTGGAGCTTGCTTAAGGGTGAATTTCTACCCTAAATGCCCTCAACCAGACCTTACCCTAGGGCTCTCCTCGCACTCGGACCCCGGTGGCATCACAGTTCTCCTGCCCGATGAAAACGTGCCTGGTCTCCAAGTACGTAAGGGCAATAACTGGATCACTGTTAAGCCTGCTCCAAATTCGTTCATAGTCAACATTGGAGATCAAATTCAGGTTCATTTTGGCTCTTATTTTCTTTTATTATAAGCACGATTACAACTAATTAATAATAGTGTTTATGTTTGTTCAATGTGATTAATTCTGTGGCACATTTCTCATAATTGTTATAGACATTGTTTACAATGGTGGAGCAACTTGTAGTTGAGTGTGGACACATTGCTCTACTTATAACACTTGATATTTCAATTTTACAATAAATTCCTATTAAACTTTTCAGTTTTATCTCTATATCTAAGAATATATATATGTATATATATTTCTTTCCACGCTCAGTAATTGGATTTATAATTATAAGTCTTTATTTAATAAAAAAAATATCTCTTATATTATTCTCTCTTTTTTTTTTTTGAGGATATCTCTTATATTGTTGTAGTACCCTCACTTGGAAACTTTTTCTCACTCTCTGTTACTGATTATTGTTTGCTGAATATTTATCATAACAGGTGCTAAGCAATGCAATCTACAAGAGTGTAGAGCACCGGGTGATCGCAAATTCAGTGAAAGGCCGCGTATCATTGGCGCTCTTTTATAACCCCAAGAGTGATTTTGTAATTGAACCAATGAAGCAACTTATTACAAAAGACCGGCCTGCACTGTACCCCGCCATGACTTTCGACGAGTACAGACTCTATGTTAGGACGAAGGGTCCTTGTGGCAAATCACAACTTGAATCCTTAAAATCCTTGAGATAATGATAAATCAACTAAATGATTCCCCTACAATATTATCAGTTGTACTACTAAAAAAACCACATATGGAGAAGTTGTTTGACAAAATAAAGAGTACTATTTAGTCAAGGGGACAACTTTGAATGGCCTAGAACTACTTTTTCAATCTTTTCTTTTTTTATTTAAGGTACCTTTTCACTCAAAAAAACTACTTTTGTTTGCCTCTACCAGTTAAGGCAATAAGTAGAATCATGCATGGAATCAGTAGTACAATGTGATTGAACTCATTTCCCCAATTCCATGTGAAGTTGTTGCATTTCTTGCCTATTTGTCAGTTTGATCGTGAAAGTGAAATGAATTTTGTGATGGGAATCGACCACATCCTATGCTAGCTTTTTATCCAGTTGCATGGAGACTAAAAGTTGCCTCGTTCAATTCCGGAAACAAAATCAATCATTCAATGTATATACTAATTTATACTCGCAGATTTCTCATATATATATATATATATATAGTATTCAAAAGCAATACGGACAAGACAAATCTTGATTACCAATATATGTAGCACACTACAAGAAAAAGGATTATTAGTGACGACAAAAAATCATTGCAAAAAATCGAGAGTCGTCACAAATAACGGTTTAGCGATCACTTATCATCGCAAACCTGTTGCTACAGTTGAATAGTCGCAAAAATAATTTTTGCGACCACACTATGTCGTCACAATAATATTTGAGACGACAATCGTCGCAAATGAGTCGCTACAATTATTTCATTGGGTACATCGTTAAGATGACATGGCAAAAAGTATTTGCGATGATGTTTTTCAAATTTTGTCGTTGCAAAAGACCCTATTGTGGCTGACGTGGCATATATTTTTTTCGACAACGTAAGATGACATGACAAATGTATTTGCGACGATTTTTTCCGAATTAAGTCGTCGCAAAAGACCCAGTTGTGACTGACGCGGCATATATTTTTTGTGACAACATTTGTCATCGCAAATACTATTTTAATTTTTTATTCATTTTTTCTCATTTTAATAATTCTAATAAATATAATTCATTATATTAAATATAAATAAAAATTAAATAATAAAAAATATAAATAAAAATGATTATGGTAAAAAGTAATTAATAAAATAAAAATATAATTATCGTAGAAATGTGCGGAAGTATAAATTGTTATATTAATAAAATTTTAATCTCCCAAATTAGTAACATCACTATAATTATCGTTATTATCATCAGAAGGATTCGGAGGCGGATGATCTAGACGGACATACGGCTCAAGAGGAGTAACTGCTGGGAAAGTCATGTTGGGGTGTATTTGAGTCATGATATCCTTATCATTCTGAGGCTCTCGTACATCTGAAGGTTTTACTGGTAAGTCCGTTGTAAGTATTCTTCTACGTGTGGTTCAAAACATGACGTAGAAGATCTTGCCGAGCGTGAGCAAGATGACGACGCATCCCCTCGATAAACTTTTTGTGGGAGTGTGCGACCCACTCCAATCTTGTGTCCTCTGCGGGTGCCCAGAAACTGCTCCATAATATCCTCCTCATTAATTGTTCCTGCCGCGGAGGTTCTAGAAGTAGCAGACTGCGTCTCGATTTGTATTTCTCTTTCTCCCTCCATCTGATGCTACAAATATTATAAAAAAAATAATTAAATACATAATGCGATTTAAATAAAAAAAAATAATTAAACATTACGAGTATACTTACAAAAGTCTGCTCAGCTTGGGGATTAACCCAAGCATCCCCATGACGATGCATGTCCCCCCAGTTATCAATGACGGACATCGGCTGTTGAGTCCCTATGTTAGACTGTATAGTAGTTTAAATGTATATGAATATAGTGTAATCGATTATCAAATTAACATTTATATGGAATAAATTATTAACAAATACTTACTTTCTTATCGTGATGTTAGGAGTACGACAGCCGACCATGAAAACTCGACTACTTTTGGTTGCTACGGTTAAGTTTATTGATCCCTGACTTTTTTTATTTATGATTACATTCAGTATTAGTAAATTTAACATTTATTATATATTTTATAAAAACAACATATAAAATAGATTCAATTACTGAAACTGGAATCTTCATGCTATGTGGGACTGAAGTGGTTTTCGTCATAAGCTTCTAAACAGCTGATGTTTCATCATATTTCTATCTTCTTGGCAAACCAAGTACAGCTTAGGTGTTTCTCACTAATTGGTTTGCCAAAAGAAGCAACAGAGGTTGAAGTTGAACAAGCAACATCTAAAAAGCTATCACAATTTCCACTATTCGGTTGTGAATTTTAATCTAATTCACAAATCTAAATTTAAAACCACAAATTATATCTAAAATCTAAAACAAAATTATAAAACATAACATAAATACCAAAATCAATTAATAAAATACCAAAATATTAACTCACAAAATCCAAACCCACAAATACCGGGGGTTAGAGAACGGTATGGCAGCAAAATGGGAGGGCGACGGCGGCTGGAATATGAGCGGCGACGGCCGAATCATGGGGTGGCGACGGCGAGAAAAAAACACCGTTTTCTGGTTTTTTCAGTTTTTTTCACAATATTTTGTGGTACAAATGAATTATTTGAAGAGAGAATGAAGTATTTAAGCTTTTTTTTAGAGATTTTGGACGGTATATGGCGGTTTTAGACGGAGAGGAGCCAAAAAAGCGCAAGAGCTCACCGGAAAAAATGGCGAAATGAGGGCTGGGCTCGGGGTTATACAGACAGTTTTTTGCGACGACATTATATCGTCGCAAAAAACATAACATAGTCGTCGCAATTAGTGCCAAAACGACGGCGTTCTTCTTCACCTCATTAATATTTTTGAGAATATTCTTCAGGAATATGCCCTGATTTTTCTCTTGCGACGACAATTTAACAATGTCGTTGCAAATAATTTTTAGGAAACCACCAAAGTCCCCGCCCTTTTTTTGGGAAAAATTTAATCCCATCTTATTTACGACGACACTGTGGTTGCAAAAAACATTTGTCCTTTATAGAATTTTTTGGAACTCTTTTTTCTGACGACACGTGTCGTCGCAAAAGAGTCGTTTTGGAAAGAATTTTCTGGATCCATTTTTTGTGACGATTTTATACATTGTCGTCACAAAAAGGAAAGAAATATCTGGAACCTGTTCCTGGGAAACCGGCAAATTTTCCGCCTCTTTTTGGCCACGTCACCGCCAACAGTAACCTTCTCTATTTGCGATGACATGTCCTGGCAAATATGTACAAACTAGCGCCAAAATTGTTGGCGCCAATGGTTAATAGCGACGACATGTCGTCGCTAATATGTATTTCTATTTTAGCAACGACATGTCGTCGTAATTATATCAATTTTGTGCAACGACATATCATCGCTAATACGGAATGTGACGACAAGTCGTTTAAAAATTTTGTTTTCTTTTCAGCGACGATATGTCGTCGCTAATATGGAAACTTTAGTAACGACAAATATCGTCGCTAATAACTTTTTTTGTTGTAGTGGTAAATTGTGGACGAAGATTGAAAGGTTCATTTTTTGTTTGTGGAGCAAAAATTTTCTCACCGCACATAATGAGGTGTTAATTTTCTTACTATATATAAAGTTGTATAACCGGGCCAAATTATGTTGGCATTATCCTGCTGCTATTTACTCTTGATACTTGACAAGATGTATTTGATGGTTCTTATATGATGCATGCAGCCTAACTTTTACCAGTCCAAATCAGTACTTGTGGCAACTGTGAATCTTGACGAACTGGTAAATAAGTTTCACGTGGGTAAGCAAAAAAAAAAAAACAAAAAACAAGTTTCACGTGGGTAATTCATACTTTTCTTTGGTTTTCAGTGACTTCGATCCCCATTTTTCAGACTAATCATGAATGTTTAAATTTGAGTGCTTTTTAGTCTAAGGTATCTCTACTTAATAGTGTATTTTTCTGATCATGAATATGATTAAAAATATATCAAAATGAAAATAAATACATATACAAAAATAACAAAACTTTTTTTTTAAACAATAACAAAATTTGATAACACATCCAAAGGTACAAAACAAAACATATTATTATGTAAAACTTTAAATCTATAATATCCAGAGATCTTAGAACAGTATGATTCTCACAGAATAAGAATTAGAAGCGTATCTTGACTCATTGCTTTGATTTAGAGAAGATCACCTATACAGGGAGTTTAAAAGAGAAGTAGAATCTAAGGGTCTGTTTGTTTCCGTTTCCATTTTTCATAGTTTTCGAGAATAAAAAATGAAAACGTGTAATGGAAACGTGTTTGGCGTAAAATTTTCCAAAATTTAAAAACAAAAACGATCTTGTCTTTTTCTGAAAATACTGCCCCCCCCCACCCCGTCTGCGACTGCCCACCCTCCCCCGTTGCTTCTACGACTGCGCGCCCC